GAGTCGAGTGACCTCCTCATTGTGGACTTTCTCCTTTGGCCTTGGAGCTTTCAGTGGCCCCAGGATCTTTGACATTCGCTTCCGGGGAGAACGACTAGCTTATGAGATCAGCCTCCAGGAGGCCTTGGCTGTCTATGGTGGAAATTCTCCTTCTGCTCTGCGAAGCCGGTACACAGATGGTGGATTTGGCTTGGGTCACTTCTCTTCAACCCTGACTCGGGGGGTGGACTGCCCCTATGGGGCCACCTACATGGACTGGCACTTCCTTCTGGAATCACACATCCCCAAGACAATACGCGATGCCATTTGTGTGTTTGAACAGAACCAGGGCCTCCCCCTGAGGCGACATCACTCAGATATCCACTCCCACTATTTTGGGGGCCTTGCAGAGACAGTGCTGGTGGTCAGATCTGTGTCGACCATGCTCAACTATGACTACGTGTGGGATATGGTCTTCCACCCCAACGGGGCCATAGAAGTCCGACTCCACACCACCGGCTACATCAGCTCAACCTTCCTCTTTGGTGCTGCCCGAAGGTACGGGAACCGGGTTGGGGAGCACACGCTGGGCACGGTCCACACCCACAGCGCCCACTTCAAGGTGGATCTGGATGTAGGAGGTAAGACATCCCTGGGGAAGCAAGGATTCCAGCAGAGGGGACTGAGGTCTCCATGTCTTGCTTTAAGAATTGTCACTGAGGGGCGCCTGGGTGGCTCAGTGGGTTAAGCTGCTGCCTTCGGCTCAGGTCATGATCCCAGGGTCCTGGGATTGAGCCCCGCATCGGGCTCTCTGCACAGCAGGGATCCTGCTTCCCTTCCTCTCTCTCTACCTGCCTCTCTGCCTACTTGTGATCTCTCTGTCAAATAAATAAATAAAATCTTTAAAAATAAATAAATAAAAATAAAAAATTAAAAAAAAAGAATTGTCACTGAAGGATTAAAAGATTACAAGTGAAAGTCAGGTTCCTCAGAGATTTTCACGCTTAGCAGATCAGTTATTCTCCCATACTTAAGAAAAAAATTCTTCCATATTTTTAAATATAGCATCTGCAATATTTAATAAATTATAACATTTGTTATATTGTATACTATCTGTAAGTATCATATACTGATGTAAATATTTTGAATTTTCATTATCAAAATTGGATCATAACATATCTATATTTTGCCACTTCTGTTTTTTTCACATAACAATGTATCATTCATGCAAGCAACAAATAGTTACTAAGTGCATTTTTTTTTTTTTTTTAAGAAAGGGAGCAGGGGGAGGGGCAGAGGAAGAGAGAGAATATTCAGCAGGTTCTACACCAGGCACAGACCCCAAAGCAGGGCTCCATCTCACGACCCTGAGATCATGACCTGAGCTGAAATCAAGAGTCGGACACCTAACCGACTGGCCACTCCAGCATCCCACGAACGGGTATTTGTGCCAGTCACATCCCTAATGCAATTTAACAAATGAAACAACAACCCTGCTCTCGAGAGGCTTACATTCTAATGGAGGAGTGGGCAACATGTGGAGTGCCTTTAAAAATGTGTATGATAGAAACATTGTTATGCTTAACTACTCTGTGCCTCAGTTTACCCAAGTGTAAAAATGGTGTAAGAGTGCATTCCTAGTAAGACTACTAGAGGATTAATGATGAGTACTTTAAAGCAACATCTCTTAAAAACATTTATTTATTTATTTATTTCCCTAATCTCTACACCCAGCATGGGACTCGAACTCACAGCCCCAAGATTGAGAGCCTCATGCTTTTCTGACTGAGCCAGCCAGGGGCCCCCAAAACAATTTCTCTTTTGAAATAATTTTATGACTGAAGAAAAGTTGCAAACATTGTCCAGTTCCCATATACCCTTCACCCAGCTCCCCCTAATGTTAACATCTTATACAATTGTAGTATGGTGATCAAAACCAGGAGATTAATATTATTACAGTACTATTATCTAAATTACAGACCCTATTAGAGTTTCATTAGTTCTTCCATTAACTTTCTTTTTCTGTTCCAGGATCTAATCCAGGATCCCACACTGCTTTTATTTGACTTTTCTCCTTAGTTTCCTCCAATCTAAGACAGCTCCTTGGGCTTTTCTTGTCTTCCATGACCTTCACATTAGGGAAGATTTTGGTCATTATGTAGTACGGTGGCTCTTAAATTGGGTTTCTCTGTTATTTTCTCATGATAAGATTGAGATTGTACTTTTTTTTTTTTGCAAGAAAACCAGAGAGATAACATTATGCCCTTCTCAGTGCATCATATCAAGAGGTATGTGAGGTTGATATGTCTTATTACCAGTGATGTTAACCTCAAGCACTTGATTAAGATGGCATTTTCTGACTTTCTCCATTTTACAAGTTAGTACTTTTCCCAGGCACCTGGGTGGTTCAGTCAGTTCAGCATCTGCCTTCAGCTCGAGTCATGATCTAGGGCCCTGGGGTCAAGCCCCATGTTGGGATCTCTGCAAGGCAGGGAGCCTGCTTCTCTCTTTCCTTCTGCCTATTACTCTGCCTGCTTTTGCTCTCTCTGTCAAATAAATAAGTTTTTATTTATTTATTTATTTGACAGAGAGAGCAGGAACACAAGCGGGGGAGTGTTGGGGGTGCCCCAATAAATAAACTATTTTTTTAAAAGTTAGTATTTTTCCATTTGCAATTAATAAATATCTTGGGCGGGGTGCCTGGGTGGTTCAGTGGGTTAAACCTCTGCCTTCAGCTGAGGTCATGATCTCAAGGTCTTGGGATCAAGCCCCGCATCGGGCTCTCTGCTCAGAAATAAGCCTGCTTCCCCCACTCTCTCTGCCTGCCTCTCTGCTTACCTGTGATCTGTTTGTCAAGTAAATAAATAAAAACCTTAAAAAAATAAATATCCTGGGGCAATTACTTTGATGCTATACAAATATCCTATTTCTTTTCTTCTTAAATTCTTGCCTACTAATTTTTATCCTCTGTTGGTAGACTTTTTTTTTTTTTTTGCAAGAATTATTACGGCAACATTTCCCTACTGGTCATTTCAAATTTTTTTCTTTATTCTTTATACATTAATTAATTAATTAGAATTCTCAGCAAGGAAAAATTATCCTCCATTGACATTGATTTATATATGCAATTATTCATAACTGCACAGATTCATGGATATTTATTTTATTCTAAGGGTTACAACCCAGCAGTATCATTTATTCTGTTCCTTGCACTATCCCAGTATTGGCCATTGGGAGATGCATCCAGTTGGTTCTTGTTCCTTTCGATATGCCGCCATCCTTTTTTGAGTGCTTCTTTCTTTTTGGCACCATGGGATATTCCTTTTTTTTTTTTTTTTTTTTTTTTTAATTCATTTGAGAGAGAGAGAGATGCCCAGGTGCCCCAAGATGTTCCAGTTTGAGCTTGTATTTTCCCTGCTCCAGCCCTGGAATCCAACCACTTCTCCAAGGAGCTCTGGCTCCTTTTTACTGGAGGATGCTCTCTAGAAACCAAGCCCAGGGCACCCAGGGTGCTCAGTAGCACTGGACCGTCATTGCTTTTAGGCTCGCTCCTTGGACTTAGCTAGAAAATTGTGTTATGTATTCTACCCGACATGCACATCTCTCTATCTCCACACCTAAGCAAGGATGGCTCTTCAAGCTCTTTGAACTATGCCTGACACGTAGTGAGAAGTATTAACCATTGTTGCTGTCATTATGGTCCCCATGAGCCCATTGTGTGGATGTTCCAGAAACAACTGTTGGCCTTTCATTGTCACCTGTGTTGTGGACTGGGGGCAGTGAATCCCCAAAAGGAAAGCGAGAATCTACTTCTACTTTGGCCTATGTTCCTTACTGCTCTTTGGTCTCAGGGCAAAGTTGACTCCCAAAAGGGTACCTAGTTAGATTCTAATGAAAATCATTCAAAATTCCCGGAGCTCAAGGAACAGACTTTGCCTTTGGCCCTGCTCTTAATTCCTCGCCAAGCCCCAAATGATAGGAAGCACCATCAAGCTCCGGCAGCATTGGGCCTGGCTCTGATTTGCCTTCCCTCTGGCTAGTCTGTCTGCTGTCTGCGTGTCGTGTGCCCACTCTGTGTGGCTCTCCTCTGTGTGCTGCTGTGTGGCAATGCAGAGCCAGAGTGAGACCGGGGTCCCCAGCATCACCACAATGCTAACCTCCTGCCCTTGGAGACAAGCCTGAGCATGTTACTTAAATTCCCTACATTCCCTACATGTTACTTAAATTCCCTACATTCCCATCTCTACAATGGGCACAAGGGTAGTTCCTCCTTCATAGGGTTGCAGTATGAGTAAAGCACCAATGCCCTGCAGTGCAGAGCTCCTTGAGGGGTAATGAACGTGAGCTACCGCTGTTATTATGGTCATGATAAAGCAGTTCCGGTGATGCTATGGGGCTTCATTCATGAGCCACAGACCCTTTCCTTGGGTCAGAAGGAATCAGACTGCACGTGGCCTGCTAGGTTGCTCCAACCTCAGGGCAACCATCCTCTTGGCCAGCCCTCAAAGGGACGAGGTCAGTGGAGGCCCAGTCACAAGGTGTCCGGGATTATTCCCAGAAATGACATCAGGCAGAAACACCATCACCAGATCTCTGGATTGGGATGTCTTGGGGAGAGGGAGGGAAGCAGGGACACACTCCATCCTGGGTTTCTCCTTGGCCCCACTCTGAGGCGGTGAGTGGCAGGGAAGGGACAGAGTCCAGAGGGAACAGGGCAGCTGCATGACTGGCCCTCCCTCCTCTCCCCCTACATCCCCACCCCTCTCTGCAGGACTGGAGAACTGGGTCTGGGCTGAGGACATGACCTATGTCCCCACGGTGGTCCCCTGGAGCCCCGAGCACCAGGTGCAGAGGCTGCAGGTGACCCGGAAGCTGCTGGAGACCGAGGAGCAGGCCTCCTTCCCCCTGGGAGGCGCCCCGCCCCGCTACGTGTACCTGGCCAGCAACCACAGCAACAAGTGGGGTCACCCGCGGGGCTACCGCATCCAGGTGCTCAGCTTTGCAGGGGAGCCACTGCCCCAGAACAGCTCCTTGGAGAGAGCCTTCAGCTGGGGGAGGTGAGTGGTGGGGTGTCACGGCTGGAGGAGGTGGACTGTAAGACGAGCCCATGTGGCTGAGAAGCTACATTGTCCCAACCTCCCGCAGGTGTGCGTGCACATACACAGTCACAAATGCACGCGCACAAACACACGCTCCTGTGGCCACAATCTTAGTGCTACTCAAAATGAAGCCAGCCCTCTGCACGGAGGGAGAGACGGAGAGCTCCGTGCTGAGTCAAACATACTGAGATGTGGAAGGCGGAGTCCAGGCTGCGGGCACACGGGGCTGTACTGTGCCATTCTTTCAACTTTTCTGCATGTTTAAAATGTTCACAATGAAAGTCGGAGGAAAACACCAAGAGGAAGAGAGGAACGTGGATCGGAGGGAATATACTGTCCTAACACCCAAGCAGTCGACATCCTGAGATGGACTGAGGATGGGAATCAGGCCTCGTCTGCACGCACACATCCAGGGTGCAGGCTCAGATCCGGATGGACGCGTGAGGATGCCATTCCCACCTGAGGTCTGAACAGTGCGCCCGTGGATGTCGGAGATATGGGATATGGAACAAACTCCAGAACTCTGTGGGACAGAGAGACAGAAAGAGAACAAGTATACAGAGAATGATAATGAGGCTCGACACCATGAGACCGTTGTGCTCATTTCCCCTTTGTGTTCCCTCTTCGGTGGGGCTTCGGGCAGTAGGACAGGTTGCTCACCTCATGCTCTAATCCAATCTCCCTAGGTACCAACTGGCCGTGACCCAGCGGAAGGAAGAGGAGCGCGGCAGCACCAGCATCTACAATTTGAATGATCCTTGGTCTCCCACCGTGGACTTCGCTGACTTCATCAACAACGAGACCATCGCAGGGCAGGTGAGCTGAGAGGGAGGAGGGGAAGGCAAGAAGGGGAGGGAAGGGGAGCAAGGTTGAGCTGCCTCATTCACTCCTAAGCCAGATTCCTTGGGGGTCTTTAGAACCTACTGGGAAAGAAAGCTTTGTGATTTCACCTTTTTCCTGGGCTAGTGAGCTAAATCCTCACATCCACGGCTGCTGTAGGAGGCAGGCCTGTCCCTCACAAAGCCAGGCCTCAGGATCCTCTTTCTTCTCCTCTGCCAGGACCTGGTGGCCTGGGTGACAGCTGGTTTCCTGCACATCCCACACGCGGAAGACGTTCCCAACACGGTGACTGTGGGGAACGGTGTGGGCTTCTTCCTCCGACCCTACAACTTCTTTGATCAGGACCCCTCCTTCGAGTCTGCAGACTCTGTCTATTTCCGGGAGGACCAGGATGCTGGGGCCTGCGAGGTCAACCCCCTGGCTTGCCTTCCCCAGGCTGCTGCCTGTGCCCCAGACCTCCCCGCCTTCTCCCACGGGGGCTTCTCTCACAACTAAGGGGTCCCCGGGATGGGGAGTGTGCCAGGGACCCCAGGGCCAGGCAGTGGGGAGAGGAGCAGTGGGTGCTGGGCCAGGGGGCCTGATGCCCTCTTTTCCTTCCTTCCACCTGGAAGCTCCCCGCCTCCCCTTCCCCCTCAGGCCCCCTCTCTATTGCCCTCCCTGACACCCCCTCCCTGCTGGGAGCATCCTGAGCCTGCGATGCCTGGCACTGGGGAAGGGGCGGAGACCCCAGACCTGCTGGGTTCCTGTCCCAGAGAGAAGAATGGCCAGCTGATGCCCGGACTGATGGCCAAGCTTTTCACAGAAGACTCCTGTTTCTTCTAACAGTTTTTTAATCTTACTTTTTTTTTTGTTAACAAGATATGACTTGCATGTCATTAAATCGCATATACATTAAACATGTACAAGTTAGGGTTTTTTAGTATATTTACAAAGTTGTGCAACCATCACCCTATCCACTTCCAGAGCGTTCTCAACACCTGAGAAAGAAACCCCAGACCTGGGAGCCTGGGTGGCTCAGTGGGTTAAGCTTCTGCCTTCAGCCCAGGTCATGATCTCAGGGTCCTGGGATCAAGTCCCGCATCGGGCTCTCTGCTTGGCAGGGAGCCTGCTTCCTCCTCTCTCTCTCTCTCTCTCTCTCTGCCTACTTGTAATCTCTCTCTGTCAAACAAATAAATAAAAATCTTAAAAAAAAAAAAAAAAAAAAAAAAAAGAAAGAAAGAAAGAAAAGAAACCTCGGACCTGTTAGCACTCTCTTTTCCCTCCAACCCCTTCCCGGCTCTAGGCAACCACTCAGCTTTCTGTCATTGTCGATTTGCTGATATTCTGGACATCTCGTATAAAGAGATTTGTACAGTACGTCGCCTTCTGTGATTGGCTTCTTTCCATCAGCATCACATGTCTGAGGTGCGGACGTGTTGGAGCAGGTGTCTGTCTTTCGTTCCCTAATGGCTGAGTCCCGTTCCACATCAGGGATAGACCACACTTTGTTCATCCATCCTTTCCCTGATGGCTAAATGGCTTGTTTCCACTTCGTGGACAATGCCTCAGTGAACCTTCGTGGACAAGCTCTTGCGTGGACAGACGTTTTCGTTTCTCTTCAGCACACCCGGGCGTGGAACTGCTGGGGCGTACAGTCGCCTGAGGCTTAACCTTTTGAGGAATCACAGACCATTGTCCAACACAACTGCACCATTACTTATCCCTTCTTCTTTTTTTTATTGAGCTAAAACATACATTACACAAAATTTCAGTTTATAAAAACTGATCATTTTTAGATGCACAGTTGAGTGTCATTAACATTCAGAAGCCTTCTGGGGCCTTCCCAGCTCCTCCTCTGTCCTTGGGTCTGGAATGAAGACGAGGCCTCCAGAGACCAGCTGTTCTCTCGAATACCAGGGCAGCGTCCCCACCAGGCCTGTGGCCTTCTTATTCCAGCACATTCCTTCTCCTCCCTGAGTTCCTCCTCCTCCTCCTCTTCCTACTTCAGCTTCTGCTCCCTGGCGTTTCCCTCCTCTCGGTACCTGAATAAAAATGTTCCTCCTCTCATCCTGTCATCTGTCTCCTCTGCCAAATAGTCTTCTGAGTTCCTGACATGGATGGAGACCATAGGGAATATGCTTTTGAGATAGGATGGTCAAGTGACAGAAGCAATTCAGGGGGTTTTGTGGGTGGAATGTTCTAAGGGCCATGAGTGACAGTGGCCTCCGTTCCATCAGCCAGCCCCCATGACCAGAACGTCACTGAAGATAGGAACCAGAAAGCATCCAGAGCCTGGCCCTAAGGCCTGGTGCCGTCTGATCAGGGGCAGGCATGCCGAGTCAGGGGTGTCCCAGTGGGAACCAGCCTGGCCTGGTCAGGCAACAGCCTCCAGGGCCTCCCATCCCCATTGGCCTTCCTGGGGTGTACACTGTGGATGAGCATAAATAAGAACTAGAAGAGTTTCCAGAAAAGAGTGTGGGGGCAAGAGTAAGATTGGGAGAGGACTCCAGACTAGAGAAACCCATGGGGAAAGTGGTGTCCACACCTCTGCTTGGATAGCTTGCCTACTTGTGTCAGTCTCTTTTCTAGAAAACGGGGTTGTGGGGTCAGGAAGAGAGGGGCTTCCTTTCCCAGGAGGAAGGCCAGGCCACTGACCCAGCCCTAGGGGAGGGCAAGCCATGGCAAGAGGGTAATTGAGGGCACAGAGATTTGGGTCCAGCTCAACTTGAGAGCAGAGAGAAATGCCAAGACACCGTGGAAATCCTGTGGTTCCGAGAATGGCCTACACCCCCAGGCTTAACCAGGTGATCTGGAAAGGAACTAAGTTCTGGCAAAGGGACCTTCAAACAAAGACTAAAAGCCATGGGAGCCACACTCGATTCAAGAATAGCAGCAGGATATGGTGAAATCTCTCAGATGGAGAAGGCGTGAAGGCAGAGCTGGTCAAGACAGTTAAACTGATGCTTCTTTCCATTTTGTTTCTAAGTTCAGCAATTTAGTGTCTCTTAATCCTCTCAGCCCGGATAAATACCCTGTTTGGACTTTCTTGTGTTTCCTTGTGTGAAAAAATTTAAACCATGATGGGTATAGATGCTCTCCTCTTGGCTCCCCCCAGCCCGCACCAAGGAAATGCAGAGAGGAGCCAAGAATGCTTTTCTTGGCTGTTCCAGCTTTGCTTCTCCTCTTGCAAGAATGGGGAGAGAGGACACGTGCCCCCAGGCTGAGGTCTGTGTGAGGGGCTCTGCTACTGTGGCTCACCTGCTAACCAATAGGCTCCCCACTGGAATCAGAGGAGATAATCTGAGCCACTCCGAAGGAGTGGGTGCGCAGGGAGCACTCAGGAAAAGCCCTGAGGCAGCCTCATTGGAAGACCTTCCTGGGAACACACGCTTCCAGCTGCAAGAAAAAGAGCAACCGGACCCTGAGGAATAGCCCAGAAAGATCCAAAGGGTCAGAGTTGTAGGGGAAACCTGGTGAGTGGGAAAGAACTCTGGGAATGTGGGTCTCCGGGGACTGTTGGACCTACAGACCCCACTGAAAGGACCTCAACCACCACACGCACACACACTATCCATACGAGCTGGTCTTTTAGCGGCACCTGCTTCAGGTTCCCCCTCCAATACTTGGCCCATGGCCGATGGTTGGCCATGTTTGGTCCACTCAGGCTCTGTAGGCAGGTATCTGCAGGTTCTATATAATTCTTCCTCTTCCTCCCCACATCTGGACTCTGTGACTGGAAATCAATTTTAAGGCTTTTATCCCAGACATCTGCCCATGGCATGTTCCTTATACTCCTTGACCTTATGTCTGTGGGCCAGAATATGATGGGGGGGGACTCCCCCTTTCTTAAACACCCTCAAGAAAAGTGAAGTCTCAGTCTTTCCTGCTTCTCTCATTGAAATGGAGCCAGTATGATGAAGACCAACCCGGGTGAGGTAATTTCCATCTGTTGCCTCACAACAACCTTGAGAAGCAGATATTATTATCACTCCCATTTTACAGATGAGAACACTAAGATTCCGAGGGATTAAGTAATTTGCCCCAAGTCATCTGGACAGGCGGCTGGGCTTGAACCCAAGCCTTTGTGGAATTATAGCTGACAGCTTTCTCCTATCCCACTGCACTTCCTCACTGCCTGGCAGGCCTGGTTAAAGAATTCAACAAGGTGATGTTTGAGAAGTATTGTTGAACTTGGTACCTGATCCATGGTAAGTGACCCTCTAAGAGCAAAATCAACATGCAATGGACCAGAACAGAAATATGCACAGTCGCCTTAAAGCAAAGGCTCTTGACCTTGACTGTGTATTAAATCATTGGTGGAACTTGTAAAACTCTGCATACCAGGCTATACCTCAGACCAATCACATCAGAGTCCCTGGGGGGTGAGGCTCAGATATTAGCAGCTCTTAAATTTCCCCGTGGTGATTTTAACATGTATCCAAGGTTGAGAAGACTCTGGGACAGCAGTTCAGTTCTAAGCTTGCCGGAGGAATATTGATACATAAAGATCTACAAAGAATGTGTCTAAAATATATAAATAATATGTTCATCAGAAGGTGCAGTAGGGGCGCCTGGGTGGCTCAGTGGGTTAAAGCCTCTGCCTTCGGCCCAGGTCATGATCCCAGGGTCCTGGGATCGAGCCCCGCATTGGGCTCTCTGCTCAGCAGGGAGCCTGCTTCCTCCTCTCTCTCTCTGCCTGCCTCTCTGCCTACTTCTGATCTCTGTCTGTCAAATAAATAAATAAAATCTTTTTTTTAAAAAAAAGGTGCAGGAAAGGAGCATTAGTGAATCCAACCCAGTGGGACAATCTGATCACGTCTAGAGCAGAGGAGCCAGCCCAAGCCCGGACATGTCCAGCCCTGGAGGCACATTAGCCACTTGGTTGGAGGCATGAGACACTGTCAAGTGTAGCCCATGATCAACTTCTGATTCTGATTCCCAGCTCCTTGAGCCAGCTTCCCACCACACCTTGGTCATGGAAGGAAAATGGGCAAGTCAATTATATCTCTTGTATACATGAACTAATTGATATTCTGTTTTAAAATTCTGTTAAAAATTGCTTTTGCTTTGACAATTACCATAAATGAAGATTCACCTGCAGGTGTTCTTTTGATAAATTTAGATCTTAATTAGATCATCCCTGGGTGATCTGATGAATCTGATTTCTGACTTAGGTCCCTCCCTTGGACTGTGGTGAATTCACCAAGAAACCATCATGGAGTGTCCTGGAGACATCAGCCAGACTCTCTGGCTACAACTCACCCAGCCTTGCCTAGACTTCACATCTAACTTCCAGAGCAGAAACTCAGTGTGAGCCAATCCTCACCTTCCTTCCCTTCTCCTACAGTTTTTCCTTGGCCAGCTGAACCTCAGAGCTCCTTGGGGGCGCCTGGGTGGTTCAGTTGCTTAATGATCAGACTCTTGATTTTGGCTCAGGTCATGATCTCAGTGTTGTGAGATGGAGCCTCACATCAAGCTCCACACTGGATGGAATCTTAAGCTTGCTTAAGATTCTCCCTTTCCCT